ATCTCTAATGAACTTGCATTAATGAATTTTTATAAATTTTTGCATTGAATAACATTGATGTTGGCAAAATGAAGGAATGAGTGGGGGACTTAAGAGCAAGATAAGCAATATATTATTAATTGGCAATCACTTTTTCCTTTGTTACCTAAACAGCTATTTACAGAGACCTTTGTTCATTTTCATGCTTTCAGGGGTATTTTTATAGTGAAAGATATCTTCTGAAAATCCCAGATCAAAAATTTTATAAGTCTTTAGATATTCAAAACTTGTATGGAATGCTATTGAATGTTGTTCACTGTACAACAGTTTAAAATGTTGGAAACACAGCTGCATAAATAAAACATTTGTTTAAAATTGATTTATTTGTTTTAGTTTTACTTTATTATAATACATTTTAACCAGAACCATGAAGTTACACATTTTGGAGTAAATTTCTAGCACTTGAAAGTGTTAAATTAACACAAACAAAATTGTTATTTTATCAGTGTTAACCATTGCATCCCAAACAGAGTTAATTTAACTCTGTTTTGTGAGTTAAAAATTTACTCTGATCCAGTGTTAAACATGTAACTATTTTGAAAGTGTTAATTTAACACATAAGAGTGTGGACTATATAAACGTCAAAAAAATGTTAATATCAACTCTGTGGGAGTTAAATCAACACTGGACTTTTTGCTGTGCACTGACACGGGGCTCTGCCTCAGAGTAAAAAGGTACTTTTCTGCCTGTCCACAGCAGAGAGATTTCAATCTAATGTTCCATGTTGATGCAGCTTCGAACATCATTGAGAGGCAAATTTCCATTTAACTGAGAGCCCATAGAAAAATGATTTAATGTTCACAGAGCATTTTGCCGTTTCACCCACCATAATTTACATGGTGTTTGATCTTCTATGTGAAAATGACACGCTTGTTTAAACACAGAGATAAAGTGCAGTGGAGATCTTTTTGCTTTATTCCACAAATTGTTTTTATTTAACTGGAAGAAACTTCACATAATGGCACATGAAGTGAAAGACTTGCTGAACCAAATCATGATAAGGCCTTCTTGTAACAAATCTATCATTTAAGGTGTTCACATTTCTCTCCAACGTTGTTCAAAAGGCTGGCTTCTCTCAAACACCAGGGCAAAATACAGATGTCTAAATTAGCATGCTTTTACTGACAAATTGTTTTATTCATTATGCAGGAAAGAGCGTGATTTGCAAAAAGAATAAAGAACATTTCAATTGATAGTCATTAAAAGGGGCCCACTGTGCTTAATTAAAATGATAAATGGTTAATACTTATGCCACTGCCTGACTCTCCTTTTTTAATTTCTTTTTTTCTTCATTTGTGGTGATGCACACTGGAAGTTATGTAGTTCTGTGGAAAAAATTATTCATTTCTGAACTTTAGAATTAACTACATACTTTGTATATGTATGATACAAACTAGTAGGTTATTCTGATGATATGATAACCACAGTTTAAAATTCCACAATAGTTACACAAAAAATGTTTAAAATGATCTAATTTATCTAAGACAGAACAGAAACACTTATTCCTTCGGCTTTAATATATGTATATATATATATATATATTTTTTTTTTTATTTGGCAGCTTTTTAGTGTTTTCTAAGCTGATTATTTCACCTTATTGCGATGCTATTCGTTGTAGAGTCATAGCAGGAACAAATAAAGTTGATGACTTGACAACTGCAGTTTGAAAATACTGTCACATTAATAAGATTGTATGAGGTCACGTTTTAGTTTCAACTGTTTCATTATTTTGTGTTGTTTCAAGACAGTCAGATTCACCTTCATTGTATATTAGGGAAAGTGTACTTACACCTAAAGGCAATTTATTGTGACCACTTCATTTAACTTGTGTGTTTTTGGACAGTGGGAGGAAGCCGGCAAAATCCAGGCATACAAAAGAACATGCAAACAGAAAGGCCATTACCTGGACTACAACAATGTTCTTTTCTTGCAAGGCAAAAGTTGTAGCAATGTGTTTTACCCTGCGGTTAAGGCTTACAATTGATACTCTAATCCAGAGGTTCCCAAACTGTGGGGCGCGCCCCCTATGGGGGGCGCCGTGTCATTGCAGGGGTGGCGCGGGAAGCTGGATGAAAAACAAAACAAAACATGAACACTGTATGCGCTGGGTTTTTACCTTAGAATGGCCAACTCTCTGTTATTCCTATGTCAATTTGATACAGTAGAGGCTTCCACACTTCCCATATCTGTGTCCTCTGTTACTTTTATCAGTTAAAACTGTTTAATCCGTTGTTAACATGTTGTAACCTGTTTTTCCGAGCCGCCTTTAAACGCAACATGTTTCCACCTGTGAAGGAGACCTGCTGCTGCTGCTCGGAGCTACGTAGGTTTGTGTTAGGATCACGGCAGCAAACCAGCAAAACGCAAAGAACTTTTCACAGTTTTTCCCTCCAAACTAACCGACTGAGTTGAGTAAAGCTGCTGGATGCAGGTAATGTGAGCTAAACGATGACTAGCTAATATCAATACAGAACCTTAAGCTTAACAAGTACCTTGTAGGCTACCGATGTTGGTGTCTATTTTCAGCTACGTACATTCATTTTGCCGTTCGTTTTATGACTATTACTTGGAAAAATATTTAAATAAGATTGAAGGCCTGGGAATTAAACTGTTGGAGGAAAAATTAGCTGCTTTATATGCAGAGCAGGGGATCCCCTGTTGTTCAAAGCCTTCACTATGGCACATTACATGTGACAGTAAATCATACAATGAATAAATTGAAGATACTTGCATCGGGACACACTTCTCCTATTGTTCGAAGGCATGTTTTCATGCACACAGCCAACCATGATGCTCAGATCACAGCTTTAAGTTTGCATAAATTTCTGTTTCATAACAGTGAATATTTTTAGCCAATATGTGCTTCTGGGAAGTATTGGTTCAAACAGGATGAAGCTACTTGTCTCACCTTCCTTCTTGTAATGTGCTGCTGAATCATCAGGGACTTGAACACAGTAGGTCTTCCTGGTCTGGACTCCACCTCCACACAGCAGACTGATGTTAGCCCGCCGTCGATCCTGCTGGCCCAGTAAATGTCGGATGTGGCATTCACCCCAGTCAGTGGTCCTCCAGGTGTACCTTAGGAAACACAACAAAGTGGAAATACAACGCCATGCAAAAGCATTCATACCCCTTAAACTTATTTTATATATGTTCACTCTACAGTCACAAATATCAATGCAATACTTTGGGATTTTATGTAATATCCAACACAGAGTAATGCCTAATTGTCAAGTGGAAAAACAAGGACGCATTCTTTTAAAAATGTTTTAAAAGATACAGGATTTCACAAGCCAGATTTGTGAAATGCACAACAGTCCAGTCAGCAGTACTTCTTACACAATCTGTAAGTCTACAGCTCAGTAACAGTTACCATGGATCTTTAATTAATGCTCCTCTTGCCTGGCCACTCAGGTTAGGTAAATGGATCTGTCTTGGCAATTGAAATTGATTTTTTTTTTACGGGTATCAGAGTCAAGGGGTCTGCCAGACCAGTCTTCCCTTCTTTCTCTCTTTCTTCTGGGAGAAGAAGCTGTGAAAACCATATTTTGTTTTCCTTCCACTTCACAACTATAACTGATATCATGCTGATCTTTTACACAAAAAACCCCTCCAAAATTGTGCATTAAAGTTTGTGTTAAGATAGGGACAAAAAGAAATAGGCTGAAAAGGTGAAAAGGTCCAAGTGTCACAAACCATTTAGAAAAGCACCAGATAACCGTTATGAAGTTTACACCAGAGATGTTTTACATTTGGGTCTTTTAAAAGTAAATCTGCCATACAACCAGTAAACAAAGATTTAAATGAATGTGAATGAGAATAAACCATTAGGGGGGATTAACAACAGTCAGTGTACACACAGGCTTCTTTCTTTCAGTTAGTCAGAAGGAGGCTGCAATATATTTTTCTTTTTATTCCAGAACTTCTAAATAAATGTTTGGTTTCAACTAGGAAATATGCAACGATGCAGAAAGCAATAATATTTCAGGAGATTACTGGAACAACAGCCCCTAGTAATCTATCAAATGCTTAATTTCCGTAATGAGTTTTCCCCTAATCATGTAAATCCCCTGCTCTCAGGCACTCCATGTAAATTTAAAGGGGGGAAAAAACTAACTAGCAGAGAATGTAATTCTCCACTGAGTACTTTGTTCAGTGCTTGTTTTATTAGCAAAACCTTTTCTAACTTCAGTGCAATGAGAACCAGGCATCTTCTTCCTCCAAGTCAAAATAACTCATCAGGTTAGTTCTTACTGTTGCTGGTTAGAGATAAAACTAGTTGAGTGGATAAAACTGCAAAAATTACATACTTGCTTCTTGTGAGCTTTGTGTCATTCAAGTGTTAAAATGAACTCAGATGTAGTAGATGAAGTAATAGCAGCTATTTGATCTAAATATTGTAGCCAGAAGATCACAGATGAACAGAATCCCGGTTTCTGGGCGGTCTGGGCATAAAAACAAACACATTTATTTATGAATACCTGGGACATTTGGGAAGTAAATCTCCTATGATGTTGCAGGCTTCCTTTTCTTCGAGTGCAGGACATTGTTTTCCTCCTCCATGTGGGATCTGTGTCATGATCCGTGTCCGGACGCGATACCCAGGGGACAGGTCGGTGGATCGGCAGGTCTTTGAGCAGAAACTCCACGATGACCAGTCAGAGGTCTGACAGTCTTTGGGCATCACACATGCCTGGAAGGTCAGTGGGGAGGTGTCCTTGGTACATAAACTGAAGATTGAGAAGACTTCATTACCAAGTCTGCCGCCTTAAACAGGCTTTGTTACATGACATAAAACCGTTTTAACTTCTGTTACAGTTTAGGCAGTGATAGACAGTAAAATAAATTGTCTGCAATTTACTTTGTCTTCATTAAAGTGGCAGTATGTAACTTTTATTAAAGAAAAATGCTTTTTTCATGCTTGTTTAAATGGTCACTATGTCATAGCAGTAATTACAGCATAAAGTATTTCATTCCATTTACCTTGTGCCAATAAAGCATAATAAACGTGGCTTAATAAAGCAAGACAATTTGTGTTTGTTGATTATTTCTTTGTTGTAACGATACTTCTAATGCAAACAATGTAATACTGCTGGAAAGTCTGTTTATTTCCCCCTTGATGGAGCCTCATTGGTAAGGTTAATGTATGTGTGGCTTCTGCAGCAGAGCTGAGTTTGTCCAATGTGTGTATAAATGCCTGTCAAATCTTCTGTGCTAACAACCTGTTCATCTTTGGACTTTTGATTGTTATACACACAGTCATGAAATGGCATCACAATCTTTAACCATAACTTCCCATAGCTGAACAGAGACAAAACAAACATTGTTATATCTGGACCTAAAGAATCAGCAATCACAGCTGCTCGTTCAAAATAACAGAGAAATCTTCATCAAATGAGAAACTGTGATCCAAAGTTGCTCAAAACAGAAATGTATTAAAATATTTGCATACTTCCACTACTTATTCCACAGACTTATTATTTTCATCTACTAAAGCAATGTTGTAGTTATTTGTATAGTAAGTGCCTCAAAAACATGACTAAAATTTGCCTGCTGACACTCATAATGACATGCTATTTAAAGACTAATTTGACTTGTATAATACATAATAGATGTTTGCATTTATTCCTTAAAGGTTCTAGCACTGAGGACAACATAAAAAGATTAAGGATCATGAATTCAAATGCACATAGTAGCATTTTGTATTTAGTGTTTGTACAAGGCCATGCAGCCCTTTTGCTATGGGCCTGCTAGTTACACTGAACTTTAATTATAGTGCAGACCCAAGGTGCAGTTGAGCTTTAAATGGATTAGTGGACATATCTCCTTAAGTAACATTTAAAATACCACATGCCTAGAGAATCTACTGAATCTGCTAGTTATACTGAGACCCATGAAGAACAAACTAACTTTGAATCATCCACTTCTGTATTAAAAAAAAAATCTGTTATTTTACTTTCTGTAAAAAGTCCACCTTTTATAAGAGATTCAATGAGCCAATTTGCTCCTTTAAATTAGTGAAACAAGTTCATTTGTCACTAAATTCCTGTTTAACTTCTTTAATTGGGCAATACACATAATGAGGTTATTAAGATGTGAGCACACAGCATATTTAATTTAATATTCTGTAATTAAACTGAAGCTAAAGTAAAATAAGACAAGTCTTATTTGGGAAAAAGCACAAGTTCAAAAGCTCCAAATGTATCTAATAGCAAAGCAAGTTAGCAGGTACTCCGCTGCAAATGGTCCCTTTGTACAAAACCTATAAATCCACCGAACCATTGAGAAGGATGACCTATGATTTCAATCTGAGTGAAATGTATGCTTCCTTGGTTCCTTGAATTCACAACCTGACCTGGATGACCAAGAATCCACACTTGGGTTTTAAATTCCCCTTCCAAAGCAGGCAGAAAATGAGAACCACTTCTTACTGTGTATAACCGCAACAGTAGAATGATCAGAAACAATAGCTAGAATCAATAAGACAGTGTTAAACTGAAATACCGCTGCTGATATGTTTGTCTGTATGGAGACATATTGAGCTTAACAGCCACTCAAATGTGTCATTATACACCAAGAGGATGGTATTTAGTGGCATTTAGACAATACATCATAATATAGATGCAAAGATTTTCCTCCCTCGATGATGGGGGCAAAAAAATCATGACTGCATGTGTGTGTGTGTGTGTGTGTGTGTGTGTGTGGGGGGTGTGTGTGTGTGTGTGTGTGTGTGTGCGCGTGCTCTATTTTTGTGTTTAAACGTGTGCAGCAAAATCCATTCTTATCAAATCCAAATACCAGGGTCAGCTCAACAAGCAGCGGCTGAAGGGAGTACCACTTAACATTTAACACAATAATACCTCACCTCCCTGCCAACATGCTGCTGAAACATGAGCTCTCACATAATCTGGTTATAATGGAATAAATAACAGACATCTGTAAAAAGCATTTTGTGTTACTGAATCCACCTTTACATGAACAAAACAGCCAATAGAAACCACAGTGGATCACATACATTGCAAAAACAAAGTCTTTAGCAAAGAAGTGGGTCAATAAGTATGTACATACAAAAGTGAGTAAGTGAGAAGATAAGTAAATAGGCTAAAAAAAAAAACCACCACCTGAATTTAACTGAGCAAGTAGGTATGAGCTTCCTATTTGATATTTACTGCACATACAATCCACTTCCAGCAAACAAGTTATTTAACCCCAGCTGATGCAATGAGTAGCTTTTCATTTCTTAACCCCGGTCGAGTTGTTTCGTCCGCATCAAGGTTCGCTTGAGTGTATTCACACCTGCACAAAACATCCGGACCAACGGGGGAGAAAGACTCTGGCCTATTTAAAGCAACCAAATGTGTCCATTTTTTAAGAGGCCAGCCAGTGAATTTACATTAATGAACAAGACACAGGAAGTAAACAGGTAAATAAATAAAATAAAATGAGGGAAATATGAAGTAAATAATTAAGTTCAAAATGGAGTCACGTGTAACCAATAGATTATTAAGCAGTGAGGGAAGTAGGTACATAAGAAAATCATGAAATAAATACACAGCGAGCAAAATAAGGGTAAATAACATTGTAAGCAAGTTAAGTGAGAAAGTCGCCAACATTGCAAGCACTGAATAAGTAAATAAGTAAGCAAACAATCTACTTAACAAGTAATTAATCAAGAAATAAGCAAGCAACATAGCAACTAAGCAATGATGTAATTAGATAAGACAGACTATAAGACAGAAAATAAATAAAAAATTAAGCCATTTATTCGGCCAACCAGACGTACACATTAACCATTTTCCTTAATTCATTTCACTATTTCCTCCACACATAAATAGTCATAAAGAAATGACCAATTTGAATTGAACACAAAGCTTCTAAAATAGGCAACTCAATTGTTTTTAACAGATTCGAATTTAGCACAGTGAGTCATAGATTTGGTTATGATTTGAAATTTGCTGTGTATAGAAGAGGTAATGCTATGCTTTACCTCTTCTATGCATAAAATAATCTCAAAAACACTTTTTGCAAAACCTGTGGTTGCATCATTACAGCACAAAGTATCGAATGAAGTGTCTAATGTTCAGATCTGTTGCATCGTTGCAGTAAAACATTTCAGTGTGTTACTTAAACTATATGTAGTTACGCTCATTTTATGTGGCTGAGTGAGACTGGTCTTTTTAAACTACAGTTTTTCAATAAACGCTATATGAAGGTCAAGATCACATCTTATGGAGCAATATATTCTTGACAAATAAATCAGCGAGAGTGATGCTCGACTCTAGAATAAATGAAAACTAATAGAGAATGACGAAAGCATCACACTGGAGGTGGGTCGTGTTGGTAGAACTGCTATTAAATGGGATTTACCGTGTGAAATAGGCAGTTCGCTGTCAATTATTTTGCTTACATTTTTTTTAACTATATACATTTTTTTAAGTTCAGAAGAGTAGTGACAGTTGCTCAAACAACTACATAACAACAACGTATGTGAAACAGCATCTCCTAATGTGCAACATGTTAAACCTTGAAAGAAGATGAACTACAGTACCGAACGACCGCACTGCCAGCTGGGAACAGGAAAATATGCCACAATTCGCACAGTCTCACCAGAATTAGACAATAACAGATTGGAAAAACAAATTCAACATGAAAACATAAATAAATCCTGCTGTGTATTAAGAGTACAGGTTGTTGGTGGCTTAGTGGTGTGTAATTTTATTTTTGGCTTTCTTTGTGCACTTTAATAAACACTAAGCACTATTTAAACTCTACAATCTACCAGAGTAATGCTACTAACCATTATCATACAACCAGCGTACCCATCTCCTGATGATGCCTCTCTGAAGGCTAACACCATCTCTACCTAGCTCAAAGAACATGCCAATTAGTTTACTGTACCGTAATGTGAAGGCCAGACTGATGCAACTCAGTACTAGCAAGGTGAAGTGAAATGAAGTAACCAGTGAAAATGATGTTTTCGAATGTGTAAAAAATGCATTTATAACAAAAAAAAACAAACAAAAAAAAACAGTCTTCTTACCTTAGCATAACATTCTTGCCATCACTTCTCGCACAGCGTACATGTCGTGTCTGATATCCCACTTCCAGCTCCCATGACATCGGGTACCTTATGTGAGCTTGACCATGGTGGTTCTGGTGATGACGGAATTGGTGGTGAGAATCCAGTGTTTGTGTCGTGATAGAGTTGTTCTCATTGGAGCTAACACCAAAGTCCACTGTGGTCCTTCCATTTAAGACGGCGTCTTTGTTATGGGGTAGACGGCACTTACTCCAGGCCCCTACTTTAAGGCTGTACTGGTACTCCCCCTCTGCAACAGGGCAGTCAACGGAGTTAGTACAAGTCCTGGTCTCGGTTAGATTAGGGCAGTTAGCCCCTCCATACATTGGCGCGGCCAGGACGTGTCTAGTCCGATGCTGTAGACCAGCACCGCAAGTTTTACTGCAACTCGACCATGAGGTAAAGTCTGAAGCCACACAGTCCTGAGGGCAGGGGATGAGGCAGGCCTGCTCCACAGGTGGCTTCTGGGAGAAGAACTCGCATATCCTTATGCTGACAGTGCTTCGATTGGAAGTGCGAACACAGTGGATATTGCGCTTCTGAATGCCATGCTGTGCTGTAATGCACTCAGTAGTCCTCATCTTGAGTTCATTAGAAAAGAAAGGGACAAGAACACAAGCCCCCCAGTCAGAAATATCCCATTCAAAAAGATCTTGGTGCCAGTCGCAGACCTTAAAGCATTGCCTTTTGCTTTCTGGTTTTTCCACGTGCTGGCAGTGCGAGTTATGGGTCGTCCAGCCCTCCATGTGGACACACCATATTGTCCTTGTCTGAACCCCACCTGAGCCACACACCTCCCCGACACACTGACCCCACGAGCCTACAAAAAAAAAGAAGACATAGAGTACATTTTCATTAAAAACGAGTGCTTTGGGGAGGTGGAAGAGGAGAGAGCAATGATTTAAATTGCAGCTATCTGGAGGCTTGCAATCAAGCCCAATTCAAGGCCATTCACTTAACCTCTATGATTGCTTTATTCATGAACAGAAGAAGAAAGGAACAAAGGAACACAAAGTAATCAAACCGGTGGCAAACATCAATACAAAAATACAAGGTCAGTTTCTTAATCACAAGGACTTAATTTATTGGATCAATATGTTAGGCTACCACAGGAATCAGGCCTGTTATATTCCTTAAGTGATATTGACATATCCTTTCCATAAACCTCAATATATTTGCAAACATGGAAACTATGTCTTTCTTTTAAAAACTAAGTCTTTAGCCTGAAACTTTGTGGGTTCTGTGCATGACACACAAGTAATTACAGACTTGGGAGCAATGAGGGGCATTCAATAAAAGTGTGATCATAGCTCAGCATTTCTATCTAATATGGTTTAGAGCACACCATTAGCGACTTTACTATGTTAAAAGCTCTTGCATCTTTTCAATAAAGTGCAAGCTATGCAGCACTGCTGTCTCTTAAGATGAAGTTTTCCTTCAACGTTAAAACATTTTTTCCCATTTCAGTCACAAACCATAATGCAATGTTTCACAGCTTTATGGGGTAGACAAACACAAATGTGCTAACAATTGTCAAATGACAGAACTATAATGGATTAATCCCAATTATTTATTTTTTAAGTCATATATGAAAAGTGTGGAGTGGGTGTGTAGTCGGTTTCTCTCACACCTTTTTTTCTTAGGTTTTCTTCCAGAGATATTATTTTTCTCTATGTAGCTCAGAGTTGGTTTTGCATATATAACACATGTTCAAACACTGCAAAATGTTTATATCGGCACGTGAATATTGCATTCATACATTCAGTATTATGATCTGTGTGTTTACATATAAACCAGTTAGGCGTAATATTGTGACAAAATGTCTAACTGCGTGTTGTTTCACTTTTTTTGTGCTGATCAGTTGAATCATGCAATGACCCTTGGTGATATATTGCTGTATCTGACACTAAGATGTTTGCAGCAGATTTCAAATTTTCTCCAAATGCGAGGTGAGCGTTCATCCTCTTTGTGCAACACGACTCTAAGGTTGGATTGAGATTTGGGGTATTTGGAACATGGCCGAAAGCGTCACGCTCCCTCAGCTGGCTTACCTCCATCCCGCGGTGCATCCTGGGTCTAAGTGTTCACCAGATAAGCAACATAATTCTTCTGATCAGGCCGCTTTCACATGTTCATGTCCCAATTTTTGGCTCTTTTTTTTTTTTTTTTGGTTAGAAACACTCCAGATGAACTGCTTGACAGATCTGCACCTAAATGTGCTGCTCTTGGTATTCTGACACCTTTCACTCAGAAACGGCTCAAACTATTTTAAAAAGTTCAAGCTCCAGTAGCTTCTGCTCAGACTACATGCATCAGTGAGCCATGGTTGACCGTGACCATGTCAAAGGTTCATCACTGTACTCTTCTTGGATCACTTTTGATGGACGCTGACCCCTGCAGCCTGGGAAGACCCTGAAAGACCCTCTAGTTTCAGAGATAAATTGACCCATCACAACGATTCTCTTGTCAGCCCCAAGGAAATACAGAATGTTCACATGACTCATTAATACATGGTACAGATATTATGTGTCCTATTTACTACCCATCAATGGCCTTGGTCAGTCTAACTTCAAGCTGAAAACAAATACTTGCCCACAGCAGTGGCCAGTAGAGCCTTTCATAAAATTTAGCACAATCATACCAACAGTTAGAATAAAAACCAAAATATCAAAAAAAAAAAAAAAAAAAAAAATTTTTGAAAAAAGCTACAGAATATCAAAAGTGATGTCAATGGTTCAGCTGTCAACTGAGCTGAAATAATATTAGTATAGCAGAAAACCGAATGCACCTGCAAGGAAGGGTAAACTTTTGTTTTGACAAGGCCATGAAATGTGTGATATTGAGCTGGATTGATCCCAAAAAAGATTTTTTTTTTTCATGCAATGTAAGCAGACCCCCTCCCCCCACCCCCGCCCCCACACACACACATACACACACACACTTCCAGGGTGCTAATTCTAGAGGATTCAACCGTTCCTCACTGTCACAAAGCTGCCAGCCTTCACTTATTCTCTCCTAACTTATTGTCAGTTTAAGCTGCATGTCAGACAAATGAAAAACTGCTGTATGCTCAGTTTAAAACATACTCACTTATGAAAACACTCATTCAAGTAAAATGCACACACGGTTAATTTACAACTTACTATGGCAACTTTATATTTAGATATTTTCCATCATATGTGGCTGATGATGTGGTTGTGGTGAACCTCTATTGGACTTGGCAGTTGCTGCTTAGTAGCATCAGCTTTTTCGTGACAGGGGTCTGGTTGTTAAATTTTTTAAATCTGCAGTATAGAGGAAAGCAGACTGTGGGCAGAGAGGAAACAAAACTGCTGATACCTTTTTTCTGGAAAGACTTCTGTCGGCTTTGAACTGGATCTTGGGCTGTGCCTCTTGCAGCAGCTGAAGCTGACCACAGACTTTGACAGAATGTGGAAACTGTTGAATATTTTACACAGCTATGCAAGTGAAGAAAATGTGAACAAAAACAGGTGAGAGTAGGTACAAAATTGTACCTTTTCAGCAAAAGCTTGTGGTCCTTAAAGTAAAAACAAAACTTTACAGGAACTGATCATAATTCTGCCACTAAGAGACCTTGTTTCTTAAAATACAAAACTAACAAACAGAGTTCACTATCTGATCGTGTATGCAATAAATATTGAATACTAAGACATTTTTCTTCCCATTAATTGGACAAATCTACAGATTCATGGTTAAACATGTGCCCAATGTACAACTTAAAACAAAGAGGGACAATAATTCCCATCGAATGAAATCTTACATTAAGCTGTTTGACCTTTTGTCCTTGTGCCTAAAAGAAATAGACCAATCAATGTTTGAAACCAAAGAACTCTGATCAATTTGCTGATGTAATGTAGTTATATATGTCAGTCTTGTTCATTTCTCAACCACTTATTTTGCAGCCCGCCATGAAAAAGATAATTTGATTCATTTCTTCTAATTGGAATCAAATTGGTGTAATAATGAGGTCCTGCTGCTCCGTAAATTGCTTTTGAATGACAACACACTGAAACTGCTCTGTGAGCTTTGTGTGCCAGAGAAATCTGCTGTTAACTCTTTGTTTCCAGGCTGAGAAGCAACAAGACAAAACAGCTTGTTGTTGAGAAATCCAACAGTGCAGAATTATTGCACAGGTTCCTTAAAGCTTACAGCTGAATTTTCTTCCTCCTGGCTTTGCAATATTAATTAGAGTAGCACAACAACATTAATGCACTCTTGGTGTAAAATATACGATGACATTTGGGGGCTGAAAATTGTGAAGATGCAATTTTAAAAAATACATTTGGAAATATTTTATCACCCCAACAGCTTCAGTTTCAGCAAGTCATTTGTTTAAATAATTAAATAAAACACTATATGGATGTGATGTTTTCCCAAGTTTGAAAGGTTTGGTTTGGTAAAGGTATAAATTATTTACTGTAACTCAAGCTAAACAATTCCCCCGTGGGTATCAATAAAAACTAAACTGAATCTGGACGATGAGCAAAGAAGGGAAACACAATGGTGCTCAGTTTATGTAAACTTTTAAACTTAGGTGGACAAACACTGATCATTACATATATTTTTTTCTTACCCATTTTAAATACATAACAGATATTCTGTTTATCTTATAGCCTTTTTTCAAAAGTTAGATTTTAGTTAGTACTCCTCCTCAGGCTCCAAAAACATAAGAATTTCTAATAGGACAAAAACTGACATCAATTTGCTTTTACTTCTCCACAAACTTCTTTCAGGCATAGTCCAAGCAGGGATAGAAGGAGGGGGGAGCTTTTCATATTCTCCCTTGTAATTTGAAGCATGCTTCCGCTATAAATTACTTTGAAAGTAGGTAAAATGTATCATACAGAAATCTCAAACCAATTATTGTCAGGTCTGTAATTTATGGTCCACACCGTAAAGCTGCAATTTTCCTATTATTCGGAAACATAATATTAACCGTTTATGTTTTGCAATTAAGTTGCGCTGTGGGTAGTATTTTACAAGGTAGCAGCAGAATTACAACATCCCTCTTTGTAAGACTTGCCTTTGAAAAGAAAGACTGGCTTTGCAAAAATAAAGGGATGCTGTTCATATTCGGCTTCTCTAAAAATAGGAATCAGATTTTACACAAGACAGAACTCCCTTGTGATAAACCTCATTAAAGGCCAAAGAAAAATACAAACATAGTTGGCTGGTAAACTAGACCACTAGACCATTGCTTTCCATTCTCACAGTGCTTGTAAGTTCAGGTCAGAACAGTATGTCCAAAGAAACCTTAGTAGTTTACTATTTTGATACCACTTGCTTATCCAACTTGCTTAATAGATAAGCAAGTTGCAGATTATCTACACATTTTATTATCATCATTTAAAATGACCTGACTGGATATTTGACAACTCCCCTCAACAGAAAACTTATTATTTAAACTTATTTAGACTGATGGCTTCCTGGCACTGACATGATGTTGTAGGCACAGTCCATGAATTTTCAGTCGGGTTAGTCAGAGCTTTGGTAAGGTCACTCCAGACACTTCATGCTAATCTGAGTTATTCCACATGAAGCAGCGATGATATATTTGGGATCATTGCTTCAAATTTCTTGATAGTAATTTGACACGAGTTGATCATTTTTAGGGCAGTACTTCATGCTCTTTATTTCTTTAACTTTGTTTTGCAATGCAATAGTACATGACATCAGAACTTCTTCAAAGCAGCCCTTGACAATGAGTACAGAGTTTTAACGCCTCATTCTGACTCCTCCAAACACACTGTTTTGTCACTGTGGCCAAATATCTCAGTTTCTATCGCCTTTGATAACACT